TGTAACACATGGGGTCGCCATGAGTTGGAATCGACTCAACGGCAATGGGTTTTGTTTTTTCTGTTTGTTCTCATAGCACCCTTAGCTAAACACTGAACTTATGTTCAGTGCTTAGGCACTAGATTAAGTGCTGGGAAAACAGAGACACAGGGCAGAGGAATTCACTGTCTAATGAAGAAAACATAAAAGTTCTGATGAATGTTGTGATAACAAGGATACAAAGGAGTTCTGGATATGCTGAGGAGGAGAGTGATACAACCAGCCTGGGCAGAAGGGGAGGGGGACAAACAGCCCAGGTGACCTCTCAGAGTTTTAGAAGACAAAAAGACAAGTAGGAGGGAGCCTCATGAGGAAGGGAGAGGATGATAATTTGAGCATTCACAAGGGCCAGGAGGGATTGGGAAATGGAACCTAGTGCAAAACTCCAAGTAGTTGGACGGTTGGAGCAAACAAAGGGAGGATGAAGGGGGTGGTGAGAGCCAAGGCTGGAGAAGTGGGCAGTGTCCATCGTGAAGAACTCAGTATGTCATGCTAAGAAATATGAATTTTATCCTGAAAAGGGATGATCTATTAAAAGATTTTAAGCTACTCATATTTATGTTTTAGTAAAATCACCCATATTGTAATTTACTGGTTCTTAATCCCTGACTTTATTATTTTTATTACTATAATTAATTATAAATTATGCAGTTAATGTAATATTAATGCAATGTATTAGAAATTGACCCAATTAAACAAAATAGACTATGAAACAGTTATTACTAAGAAGTCATATAGCTTATTTTTAAAGGAAAAATGTATATAGATTCATGGCTGTAATTGTGGGTACAGTCTTCAGTTAGTATTAATCTTAATTTTACCAATATCAAATTTGCCAAATACATCAACTCTTAAAACAAACATTTAAGATTATTCAGCTTTTTTTCAGGTGATACCCAAGCTCTAAGCCATTAATACTCACCAAAAGGTAGGAAAGACATTCAAGAAATAAAACTACACTTTTTTCTTTTGATTTGATAAAAGTTCTATGTCTTGAACACATATTCCCCTCTTTTGAATACCAACACATAAAAATGTAAATATCTTTGCCATTCTAGCAAATAGAAATTTAAATGCCGCATTATTGGCTTTCTGCATGTAGTTATATGCCATTTAATCACAAAGTGATGCATATTTCACCTCTAAAGGCCAAAATCCTTTCTTTGCCCCTAAACACCTATTTTGCACACACATACACACACACATATTAATTCTCATTCATCCATGTTAAAAAGAAAAGTATATGTATTTTAAAATTAATATTTGGTTATAAAATATAAACACCCAATATTCTGCCCCCCCCCCACATAATACAAATATACCATTTCTGATCTAGACTATGTCCACATCTAGTATAGGCCTTCCAAAGTTCAGTTTATTAAAATCCTGAACCAACCTGCCACACTGCTATAGTCAGATATAGCTAAATACAGCTACTAAATAGACTAACCCATTGCCATTGAGTAGATTCCGGCTCCTAGCGACCCTACTGGATAAAGTAGAACCGCACCATAGGGTTTCCAAGGTTTCTGTAATCTTTACAGAAGCAGACTGCTACATCTTTTCTCCTGTGGAGCAGCTGATGGGTCTGAACCACTGACCTTTGAGTTAGCAGCCAAGCACTTAACCACTGTGTCACGAAAAACCAAAAACCAAACCGTTGCCATCAAGTCAATTCTGACTCATAGTGACCTTATAGGACAGAGTAGAACTGCCCCCATAGGGTTTCCAAGGAGAGGTGGAGTCCATCTGCCGACCTTTTTTAGCAGCCATGCTCTTAACTACTGTGCCACCAAGGCTCCTTAAATAGAGTAACTACTAGATTTCATATGTTCCTCTGGACACCTAAATGTTCTACAAACACATTTAAATTAGAGTTTCACCTCTCTCAGAAGCAAATAACTATATTTGAAGTTACCTGTGATATTGGCTAAAAAAAAAAAGAGAAAATTGAGATTTGGATAAAATCGATCATATCATGCCTGACACACAATCATTAATTCAGCGACTCAATACTTGCTGCATCTTCTACCATCCACAAGACACTAGGCTAAGGGAAACAGGTGGGTAAGAACAGTTCCAGGCCTTAAGGAACTTGCCAATGGTGGAAGAGATGTAAAGAATTTAATATAAGCAAGACATGGCAGAAGTACCATAAGAAGGGTACAAATAGACACTAGATTTTTAAAAGGTAAAAATCCATTTTGTTGGAGAGATCAGAAAATGATTCATGGAAACAAACTAAAAATTAGTTGGATTTAATATGGCAAGGGAGGGAAGAAGTGGGAGAAAGCACAGGGGAAGTTTAGAAAACAGCAAGGAGCCTAGTTTAGCCAGAACAAAGTGTTCGGAGTAGAATGAATGGTGGGAGAGATTGCTAGAAAGTTAGGACCACGTTACAGAGATCCTAAATTCTGCTGCACTTTTAATAGGAAGTAACATGATTGGAGCCACATTTTAGTACAAATAACCGGGAAATGGACATTCAGGACAGATTCAAGTAAGGAGAAATGAGAAGCAAAAAGACCAGTTGGGAGGCAATTACAGTAATCTAGGCAAGATGTGATTAGGATCTGAACCAAGCACTACCTTTCTGCAGCAATGTGAATACCAGAGGGAAATACTGGTAGAACACCACCACCATTCATAACCAGCACTCACCTGCCAGGTTTCTGCTGCTCCTTCAGTCCCCTGGCCCCACAGTCCGTGAAGAGGGAGCCAGGAGTGCAGAGCTGTTGGGCAAGATAACACAGATGGCCAAAGCAGCACACCAGGGGCCGCCAAGAAGGTGTTCAGTTAGAAAAGTCACCCCGGAAAACAGAACACTCTTGCAAGCCAGCTAAAATATTTTAAGTACCAACTCTGAGTAATAATTATTACCTAAATTTATTCTATAAACACTTTAAAAATTAAGTCCAGGAACATTTCCACTATTTGGCTATGTGACAGCACATCAACGTCAAACACATAAAAGCTCAATTTACTCTTTTTAAGCATAGCCAAAATCATCATAAATGGGTCTTTGGTGCCCCCTTGTGGACTGTTTAGTGAGACCTTTGAAAAATTTACCCTCCACACAACAATAATGGGCATTTTCATCTTTTAAAACATTTACAGTATTTTTCTATATATGCTATAATGTTTTTAAGAGAAATAATTTAAAATAAAGCATTCCATAATAAGACTTTATTAAGTCTTTAAATGGTTAGAATAAATTAAAAGATCATATTTGTGCCCATAGAAATGCTAGTATAGAATTATCAGATAGCTCTTAAAGTGTTATTTCTCTTCACATTATTTGCCACAAGTTCCTGGACATTTTTTTTCCAAATAGGAGGTCTGAAGTAGGAAACACCTGTCCTTCCTGGAGTTAAGTATAAGTCAAAAAGAAACAATTCCTGCCCATTACCTAGCAAGGTTGTCAAGGGGGCAGACCATAGGGAAGAGTGAGAAGTTCTTATCCTAAATTGGTAAAAGGTAAAGCATTTATTGGTTTTCTCCAAATAAGATTCCAGATTCCTATACACATGACAATTTCATGTGTAAAGTGGTGAAAGAAATGGTTATCTTTCCTTTTCCATTTTTGTGTAATCAAATTAAAATTCACAAGCTATTGGGAAATATGAGCATTTAAAATGATATAGAATAGACAATATTGCATTTCTTTTTTTAAAATTATTACAGAACTGGAGCTGTGATTTTTAAGATCTAAAAAGTCATTTCTGGAATGGTAATTAGGTCAGGCAGAAGTCAAGAGTATAAAACAGCAACAATGCTCATATGACAGAGAAGATGTGATTTGATATGTGCCACAGAAAGACAAGCCAAAGACAAGTAATTTGGATTAAATAAATAAAGAGAACCAAGAGTGGGAATAAGTTTCCTAAAAACAAAGAAACATCTCTGATCGAGGAAAAAGTTAAACTTCAAGTGAACAACATTAATAAATTGATTCCAATGTGGAAGATGTCTCAGGAAATTAAATAGACACTAAGAACTAAAATTGTTTAGAATCAAGTAAATCAGAAAAATATGATGCAAAACTTAGGGATTGTGAACTTTTATTAAATACAACTAACCTTTTACTCATATTTAGCCTCCAAAATTTCTTTGTGGAATTAAACTTCGTGCTGTCAAGTTGGTTCCAACTCACAGCAACCCTGCAGAACAGAGTAGAACTGCCTCATAGTGTTTCTGAGATTCAAACTGCCTACCTTTTGGTTAGCAGCCATAGCTTGCCGTAGCTCTTAATGACTGCACCATCAGGGCTCCTTGTGGAATTAGGAAGGCTATAAATTTAACATTTAGTAAGCAAAATTTGATAGCTAGTTAAGGGACAAGTTAAAATTTTAGGCAGATTTTTCAAAATATATCTATATGAATTCACACTTAAATTGTTTTATTAAGATAGTGTACAGGAAGACCTACATTTTAAATCTGTGTGTATAGTATTTACACAGATATATATACACATCACTTACTTAAACACAAATAAAAAATTATTAAACTATTTTCAAACTTTCCCCTGGTTTTAGTAATTTGTTCAACAATAGAACTTATCTCTTCCTTGCTGCTGTCCTGTAAATGGAACATGCAACTTCAAATCATTTTCGGAAAGAGGTACATTATAAATAACTTCAGTATATTTTCTTATTAAAAAATAAACTATCCTTCCCAATCAGCCCAAATTTGTCAAAATATTAATACCCAGGCTATATTAAATAAGTGAAATCTCTAACTATAGGTCTGGAGTTTTACAAAATAGTTATTTGAAACATGTGACTTTTAGGAGTTTATAAACTAAGGCTTCCATTGTGAATAACCACATACTTCCCATAATATACTTTTTACGTCTTCTTAGTTATCAACATTAAGTAAATTTTATTTAACCAGAAGTCTACCCAAATGTGTCACTCATTAAGTTAAGACAAAGATTGAAATTACAGAGTAAATTCAATAGAACTTCTGAAAACTGAATTTTATTTATATCTCATTTGAGTCAAGTAATTTCCCAAATTTATAAACTCAGTGGTCTCAAATTCAAATTTTAAAATATTATTTGGAAAACTATTTTTAAAAAATGATTGAGAAACATTTCAACACACAGTGGTGAAATGTACACATTTAAAATGTTACATGAAACAGTAAAATACATATGACAACATTGAAAATTCTTTATTCAAAAAAACTAAGTTAGTAAAATGGGTTAAAAGGACAGTAAAATAAAAATTTTCCAAAACTCATCACTTTAAAGAAAACATACAATGACATATATTATAATATATACAAAATAGGAAATAAATCATCATCTGTCATTAATGGGAAGGTTTGCATGTTTTCAAAATACTCATAATTTTACGTCAGACAAATAAAACATTGCATAAGGGGAGTGCTTCTTTATATTTAAAGTTTCTTTAGAGGCGTTTTAAATTCCGCTTACTCTGGGCACTTCCTGGAAGAGTATCTTTTCTATTCCTTGGCTTTGCTGCTCCTCTACTACATTCTTCAGACCCATGATAAGCACACAAACATAACACACAAAAGTCAAAACCACAGGTTGTACGGCTACACAGTCCCCTTTTCTTATATGGCTGGTACTTAGCAGGGGATTGGCACCTTGGGCAAGGTTTTAATGCTTCATCGATAAAAAGTGTTTTGGCAACCTGCAGTAAAAGCATATGTACTAAATCTTCCAGTTTCATATAGAGAATCACTTGATTTCAAATTCTGTAAATACTTACTTCTAATAAAGTATGAGAAATACCCACCTTAACATATTCTTCCTGCTTACTACTTAGGGGAGTAACAGAAGAGCTTGCTATAGGTGTCAAAACTTCTCCCCAAGGAGATAATGTTGGAACTTGTTCTTTCTGAGAACCTGGTGTCCTAGCCTGTGCTTGCACAGATCTTAAAGCTGATCGATTTAAAAGGTTGAGCCGAGTTGCAGCATCCTCAACATTTAATATAGCCCCCTGTGGTAAAAGATGAGGGGTACAATATCAAAAAAGTTCCAGGATAGCTTTCTGATACACATGGACTTACATATTTAGAAGTGGTTTCACCCTGTTACAACTATCTCCCTAACCAGTACTTTTTAGGAAAAAAAAAAAAAATTTTTTTCTCACCTAATACTTCAAAGTCAAAGAAGTATAAAAAGAAAAAAATAAGAACAATAAATGCTAGCTTCAAGTTTGCATGATTGGTCATGTTTCCATTTAATTTAAGCCACATGTTGGCCAACTTTTTCAAAAAGGGCCAGATAGTAAATATTTTAGGTATTCTGGGCCATATAGTCACAGTTACTCAACCCTGCTGTTGTAGCAAAAACAGCCATAGAAAACACATAAATGAAAGAGCAGGTCTGTGTTCTAATAAAACTTTATTTTAAAACACAGGCAATGTACTGTATTTGGCCTACAAACTTGTTATCCAACCCTTGTTTTAAGTTAAGGTTTAAAAAGAGGTAAATCTTTTTAAAGTTTGCTATGGGATATCATGGAATTTTTTGAAGGTTTCTTACCTTACATGTCAGAAAAACAATAGGCCTGGTTTGACCATAAATCCCAATTTCTTTGGCTGGTTTTTGCAAATACCTGGTACTGATTCATTTTTATAGTTAAGTTTTAAACAGCTTTGATATCTTAAAAGGAGAAAAAACAATCTCTCTCATTGGAACTAGATTCCCAAATTACTCAAATATTCAGTCAAGAAATATTTTCAACAAGCTATCCTTACAAGCCTTCTATTTTTTTGCTAAGGATTGTAATGGGAAAAAATAGTACAATTTTTTTTTAACAAATTGGCATTCTTAATCAATTAACAAAGTAAAATATACTACAGGTGGATTTCCTCATCTGTCCAACTATAATTGTGCTTCCTCCCCCTTGATAGTTTCCCTTTGCCATAACTGACTGCTAACTGTGGGAGAGCTAAAACATGAGAAATTATAGTAAAGAAGTATAGGAAATGAGGTTAGCTGGTCCCGAAAAAGTATGTGGTTAACAGTTTAAAACTGTATGTGCGAGTGTAATGGATGCATATTGGTTTTCAAAAATTAGAACAAATACAGGTGAACCCATTTAACTCATTCAAGGACTCAATATACCTCTTTAAAATTACATGTGTATGAAATGATTTTCAGCCTAGGCCACAAAGCACACGACACAACAGCACACTAAAAGGAAAATGGCCACTGGATTTCAGTGCAGTTGGTAAATATGGTGATTGTGCATGCACCAAAAAAAAATGAACAAAGATATGTTGTTGAAGCAAATTTTAGCCACAGGAGAAACATTCATTCATTCAACAAATATTTATAAACATCTAATATGTGCCAGGTAAATAAAAGTCTAATCGCTGTCCTCGCATTGCTTAAAAACATGGTCTACTATTTCTGAACAATAAGAGGCAAAGCAGTCAACAAAAGTACATGTTCATGAGTGCCAAAATGTTTCAAAACATAGGCATCATCACAGAACCACAAAATACTGAAATGTGAAAGTAGAGTTACCCTGTAATTGTTCATTTCCATGAATATAAGAAAACAGTGAAGAATACAGTAAATTAAGAAATCCAATGGATAGGGCGTGGTATTTCAATTCTAATACCACATTCTCATTGTTCCAAAGCAAACAGATAAAAATGAAATCCTATTACACATACCTGATTTATGCCTTCTAATTTTCACAAATAAGGCACTTTTGGTGACACTATACAAGGATGAGGAAAACAATCAAACAAACAACTTTGTTTCATAATTTTTTTGTTTTGACTAATGATGCATTAGAGCAGTTCAGTATAAAGCAATCAGTCCATTTCAGAATAGGAGGGTAGAGAGCACCAGGAAGGATGTCTTTGAGGAAAAGAAAGAACTGATAGAATACTTGATTTGTTTGGACTTATAGGGGATGAATCAGGGATCTGTATAGAGAAACATTAAACAAAAAGAAAGAAAAAACTGGACAATTATCAACTCTGGGGAAAAAAAGTTACACAAGAAAGAAAGTATAATCCTAATGTACTACATCATACAGCTTGGAAAAACAATCTCAACCCAAGCTTAATGATGTCAGCACCTAATTCTGATTTAGCACCAAATAGTGTATAATTACATTCTTGAGACAAGAGAAAGGGAAAAAGGAATTCAGAGAGGAAGTAGGTAGGTCATGGTAGTGGTACTGACGGGTTAGAGAGCTAACCTAATCCTTCTATAGAAAAAATATCAAGAAATAGCAGTGTAAGTCTGTTATTTAGACATACGGAGGTAAATACCAGAAAACCCAACTAGAGGTGAAAATGATTGCCTTGATGGAGCAAGAATTTAGAGCAAGAAGGGATGAGGCAGGAGAGTGGTGGGTTTCATTATAAGGCTCCAGTGCAATTTGACTTTTTAAGCGATTATTTGTATTGCTCTGAAAATAATTAAAAAGCAAACAATTTTTTAAAAATTCAAATAAGGAAAAAAGTATTATCCTTTAAGAAACCAAAAAAAAAAAAAAAAAAAAAAGTGGTGGCCAGAATGTGAGGATACAATATTTTATCTAGAATAATCGGAGAGGTTACCAACACAACCAAACGTCCCTTCCTTACAAGAGGTAAGGAGTATATGGAGCTAAGAGTTTAAAATGAATAGGTGCTTGCTTAAAAGAAAATGGTTTTGTAAGTTTGTCCCTAGCATGTAGGGCAGCACTGAAAAACATGTTCAGAAGGCCAGTGAACATCCTCACTATCCTAAGCCCCCATAGCCAGCGGCTACAGCAGTAAGTAGGCAGGAGCTGAGAATAGTTCTAAGGTAACATCACAGGTGAGAAGGTACAATTTTTCTTCAAAGTAGAAAGGAAGGACAAAATTTTAGTAAACAACAGTCCCTAATAGTTCATTGTAGTGAGAACCCACCAGTCTATACCTAGGTGTTCATATTTGTTTATGCCATGCTCCTCTTAATTATTGTATTTAGTCAAATTAGAAATTTATTTATAGTATGTTGTTATATACTTTTTATTAAAATGAGAATAAAAGAGTTCAGTCTCAGAGTTTCTTTTGGCACCAACGCCTAAGAAAGGTCGAAATGTTGAATCTACAATCAAATATAGGTGCCATAGCTCATCAGATGCCTGCTACACAAAGCTGCGTCCTTAGGAAAAATAACCGTAATCAGCTTCTACAGGACTTTTATTGTAACTTCAAAGCTGGACCTCAAATCTCTGATGAAGTACAAGTTTATGATGATTCACAAGTACAATCTGCCATGTCCACACTCACCTCCAGGCATCATATATGCTATTCCCTCTTCTGAAACACTCTACTCTGTCCTCTTCACTTGGCTAATTCCAAATGGGTTATTCAGGTCTCAGCTTAGATTGCACTTTTTTCTCAGAAGCCATCTCTTCATTCCCAAGTATTAGTGAAACACCCCTTTTTAAGTGTTCCTGTAGAACCCTGGGCACAGCTGCATTGTAATTACCTGTTTGCTTGTTTTCACCCATGATTCTATGAGCTCCAAGAGAGCAGGGACCATGTCAGAAACATTCACCATTGTAATCTCAGCAATTAGCACAGTTACTGGCCACATAATATCCACTCAAAAGCCTGGGGAAAAATGCTGTAAGCATATCTACTTATGAATAGGATCCAGCTTATCACTGGTATTCAAACGCTGCTAACAGCACATACGCTTAAAGAGCAATAAAATCCCAGCACGATGTTCTTGATACTAGATAGCCTACTCCACTAATGGACTGAAAATGGAATTTTGGAAAAGTAAAGAGTTTATGAGTGAATGCTTGCTTATTGGAAAAGGTAAAAAATATAGCAGGAACACCAAATCAGGTTGTTCTGCAATATTGGATTATAAGTATTAATACAAAACCATTTTAGAAAAGTAGTATACACATTACCTCAGAATCTGTTTTCAATTGTGTGACATAAAATTTTCTCCTCCGATTTGCTTTTTTGTCTTGAATAACAATTTCACGCCAATTTCTGCTTACTCTCCAAACACTAAAACAAAAAGATCAGTCCTTATATTGCATATATTCTACAAAATTAACATGTTTTGTGCATGGTAATTAATAAGAAAAATTTGTTTTAAAGATTTAGGAAAGTACATTTAAACCTAAATTTACATTTAAAATATGACTTGGCCAATATTGTTTTATATTTTGATTCACCGTATGAAACAATTCCCATTAAAATATTAAAAATAAGCAGGCATTATGTTGATAGGTGACTATCTTAGGAATGGTTAAGGGAAAAACAGTTTCATATAAAGCCAATATGTGTCCAAGGGAGACTGCTTAAGAGAATTTAACTTCAAATGTGGCACTGAGTTTAAAAATTTGGAACATAATATGCTGCAAATGATTATCATCTGTAGTGCAAGAAGTTTTATCAATTTCTCCTATTATCATATTTTTAAAATCTCTGTCATTTCGATTACATAGAACAATTAATCCTTCACTGGAAGTATTAGGTGTCACATAATAAATATTATTATGGGCGGCACCAAAATTTTTCTATTTTATAAAAACCAGCATTTATGAGAATGAAACAACTAAAGAAAAACACAACTTAGGTCCAGTGATTACTTATTTACAAGTAACATTGATTATATTAATTATTAAAGAAAAAGTGACTCTTCAACTACCCCATCTGTTAATCGGGTCTTTTTTATTACTCTAACTTAACAAATCACTCAAAGGGAATAAGAAAGTCAGGAGAAGGTTTGAGGAAAAAGTCACTTTTTGTGGAAGGTCCCAGGTAATGATTGAGTTGTCGACACTACTATTCTTCCGGCTCCATAACTGTTTCGGTTGCCATTGCCTATCTCTAATCAATAAATGTGCCTTATAATCAAACAGAAGAAGAGGAACAGGCAGAATGTCACCCACTGATGGGGAAGAAATGACCTATATAATTGGGTGTTTGCCACAGCTCATTTCAACTGTCATTTCTCACCTTATCAAGAATAAGCACGGCTGACATTATACATACATTATGCAGTACAAATACTATAAATTTGGAGGGATGAGCAGGAAACATAATTACTGAAATATGACTGAGTATCAATTGCTCACACAAGGGGGCACACAAAAGTGTCATCTAAGTTTTTATTTTTAACTGGTCTGTATCCAAGTACTCCAGCATATAAAAATAACATTTCTCTATCTTAGCCATTTTCTTAATTTTTAAACAAATAATTTATCTCCTTTGAACATTTTTAGAAAGCACATAGAGATGGTGCACTAATCTATTTTTTAATCCAGCATGGTGTACATCCAACACATTCCACATCAAGTCTACTCTGAAAGGCCTCAAAACTTAAGGGACTTTCAGCAGGTCACTTCACTTCTCTTGGGCTGTTTCCTCATCTGCAAAATATGCCATTGGACTAGATACCTCAGAAGACTTTTAGCTATGAAATTCTACAGTTTTCTTCTATAGCCTACAATTAATTTATGGAGGTGAAGAAGTATGTTAACAACAGAAGTCGTGGCCATAAATATAGCAAGGACTTTACGAACCACTCTTGACATACACTTGTCAAGAAAGAGATTCACTAACTCTCCTGCATGTTCTTCTGCAACCATCACCTTGCAGAAATCCGGTTCCACATGGTTTCCCTCCTTCCCAGTCATGGCATTCCTAAGGGTCTTGTTTTCTGATAGTCCTGCAACTCCTCAAAATCACCACTATGACCACAGTCTCATTTTAATCTTTGCAACCCAAGTTCCCACCTTCAATACTCCTCAATGTCTGACTTAGTTTCTCTTTATGTATCAGCACACAATACTCTGAAATTTCTTTAAACAGAAAATTCTTCAGTTTCTAATTTCTTGAAATTCCCCTAATTAATTAACTTCCATTTCTGTGCTACCAATGAAAGAATTCGTATTTCCTTGGTCTCTCAAAAGACCAAACTCTTTAAATGAAAATTAATCCTTGTCCTTGGATTCTAGAATTTAGATTAAATAACTCCATGGTATCCTCTGTAGGCTGCCATTTCTCAGTAACCATAATGCTTTACATTACTTACTACTGACCAAGTGTCATAACTTCAATATGATTTGCAATCTGACAATAGAATGTGAACAATTAAATACATCGTTAAGCGACTTCCATGGAACACGGCTTACCATTATGAAAATTTAAAGTTCAATTTTTAGGAACTCTCTTTCCAAGTGATCATAATAATGATATGAATTTTAACTATTCAAAAAAAGACTATATTGTTGCTTCTAAAACAGATTTTTAAATAGAAGGAACTATATCAGCAAGCTCTAGTTCACCTAAGCTGCCTTTGAAAACCGTAGGACAACCAAGGATTGAAAAAACAAAACAAGTCATAGAAAACTTCCTACTTCCTAGAAAAACTTTCCAACTTAAAAAAAATGATAAAAGGAAGTTTTACTTCATAAGCACATTTTATTTCTTACCTGCATAGGCTTTCTGCAGTCAAGGACTCTAAAACCATAGCAAGAATATGCTTTAAGTGTCTGTATTTTAATTCTGTTAATATATCCAGTTTTTCTATACCCATTTTCTTGCCGATCAGTCCTGCAAGCACACACTGCAGTACAGCTATTTTCTCCCCATCCCTTTCATCTAGGAATTCATGTGCATCGTTTTGCTGGAATCTTTTCCTTTTGCTGTTCATGATGAGCTCATGTACTAATTGCAGAGCTGGGGTATTTGATAAATTCTTAAAGCTTAAAATCAAGTCCCCACTCTTACTATCGCAGCTCAGCTGACTCTCTGAGATGTCTGAAGCAGCTGCTGATTTGCTTTCAGAGTTAGAGTGTTTAATCTGCTTTTCTTCTTCTGTCTCTGATTGTGAGCCTTGTTCCCGAAGGGTGGACAGCCTTCTCGACCTTCCAAGACGCCTTGACTTTCTTATGGTGTCTCCTACTTTGAGAATTCCCTTATGTTTCTGAAGCAGTTCTTGAAAAGAACCCTCCTGGTCAGAGAGGGAATCTTCTGATTTATCCAAGCTAAGTGAATTAAAACCACTGTCTTCAGGTGTTGAAGCATTACCTCTCACTTCAGTTGAAGGAGAAAGTGTTTTACTTGCATTAAATTTAATGTTTGCAACAAGACTACTTATTGGAGTCACAAATATGTCTTCATCTGTTCCACAAGTTGTTCCACTAACAGAGCCCAGAAGTTCAGGATATGTATTCTCATCATTAACACTTAAACTGCTATCACTGAAGTCATGTGTCATAGAGTCTTTAAAACTATTGCCCTGAATTGGAGATATACATTCAACTTCAAATAGGCTACAGTCACCTTTGGAATCATCTATTGTGGAAGTCTTTTGTTGTGAAAAATTAAGTCTCAATTTTTGACTGCTGGAAGTAGCTTCTTCTGTTTTTAAAGTGCTGGTAACTAAAGGACTAAAATTATTTTGCCTTGGGAACCCTGAAGCACTGCTTGGAATATTTTTTTCTACATTGAGAACTTGGCTTACACTACTTTCTAGAGAACTATTTTGTGATTCAGATTCCCCCTGTAGAAGAGCAAAAGATAGATTCAACTTCCTGCGCAGTAAAAATTTTTTTCCACTGACTTTAGGAGTTTCACAAAGTTCTGGGGTTTTCTCCTTCTCCTTCCAAGGGAAGATAAATCTCTTTTTTTGAGTGGGAGACTCTAAAGGATGTGTTAAGCCCAGACTTGAAGTTTCAGGGTGTTCATGGATTAATGTTGAGCCTCCTTCTTTCTTTCCAAAAAATTCTTTATCTGCATTATCAAATCTGCAAGATTTTACTAACTCACTATAGCCACTATCTTGAAGTGAAGACGTGGGACAAAAGTCTCTGAAGCTGGAGTACTTCAAATTCACAGTGGGAGAGTCTACCTCATTTCCTGCTCCAGTGCTAGCTTGAATTGAGTGCCTTTCCATCTTCAAAATCTGTTTCTACAAAGTGAAAACAAGTTTTAGTCTTCCTTTGGAAGGAGTAAGCAGGCAGGTTACACCAAAATACATTATTTGTAATAGGTCTACAGATAATAGAAAATTTTACTCCACAATATACTGATACGTATACTACTTAAAACAACATCATGGCATCATAAAAACTAAAAGATCAAAGAAGAAACTACTCTACAGGACTAACAGCCCACACGAACTGCGTCCTCATCTATCCTGAGACCAGAAGAACTAGATGGTGCCCCACTATCACTACCAACCATTCTGACCAGGGACACAATAGATGGTCTTAGAATGGGAGGAAAATGTAGAACAAAATTCAAATTCTTTTAAAAGGCCAGACTTACTGGACCAGTAGAGACTAGAGGAACCCCTGAGACTGTCGCCCTGGGATACCCTTTATATTTGGATCTGAAACCAATCCCAAAGGTCGCCTTTCAGCTAAATAACAGATTGGTTCATAAAATAAACAATATTACCAGTGAATACTGAGCTCTTTGAAAAAATTATCTATATGAGACCCAACAGTCAACATGTACCCTAAAGGAAAGATTAGAAGGTAAGGGGGAGGGGCAGGGAAATTAGATTAATGGAATGGAACAACTAGAGTGGAAATAAGGAGAATGTTGACACATTGTGAAAAATGTAATCAATGTCACTGAACAATATGTATAGAAATTGCTAAATGGGAACCTAATGTAATGTGTAAATGTTCACCAAAAACACAGTAATTTGTTCAAAAGCTACATGCCACTTTTTAAACTGTGTCGAATAAAAAGTGCTGCCACTCTAACTGCAATTAGGATGAGCAATTCCAAGATAATGCTGCTCATACTTGTAGCATAGGCCTGAATTCTCAAATTCATACCTTTACAAAGTCTCTTTGACTCATTGATAAATTACTTACATATTCTTCTTGAGTCATCCAAAATGAACCCTTGCACCATTGATACAGGGTCATTTCAAACTAGGCGTGTTATAACCATTCGTGTCTCATTAATTATTTTGAGACATAAGGTCCGGTTGCAGCCTTGAGTTCACAGATAATAGGCAACTACTTGTGGGCAACACACCCTTTATGATATTATTGAAATTTCAAATAAAGAATTCAAAAATTACTTAAAGAAGAAATGTTACTCAGTAATAATGTGAGAGTAAGGAATGATGCTAAGGAAATACTTTATTCCTTCTTTTTAATAATTCTCATTAAATCTTAAAGGAAGCTAAGATGAGAAACTTGTTATATTTTCTGATATTTCTCCAGATTATTCAGAGTACACCAAAAAAGTTGTTATTCTTTCAAAGTTTTCTCCAGGCCAAACACTTCATGATTTTTTTATACTCAAAGATCCTGGGAAAATATACTTTAGTTGACAGTTCTGGGAAAATAATTTATTTATCCCTAAGTTACATCAATTAAGTATATGAGCAAATATCTCTTTTTTTTTAAACAAATTGCTACTGTAATTGTAAAACAAAATTAATTCTTTATGGCATGATCATTAGAAGATCATTTTTACTGGGCAACGTATCTAAGTCAGTGTTTTTCAATCCTTTCAACCTATACATCTTTTTAATAAATCCCATACATGCCCCCTTCTTATCTACACCTAGACTTTGAGAATCACTGCTATCTTATGCACATCCTTAAGTGCCAAGATTATTCAACTTTGCTTTCTATAATTTGTATTATAAAATTATAAATGCATATATAAAATTTTTAAACAATGTTTGTTTTCAGAATATTAAATTAAATGTGTGTTCAAATTACACCTCTACCTATGAATTGCTTTCTCCATCTGTGAGACTCATTCTATCAAATAACAGTTTTCACTCAAGTAATTTGGGGAAACTAGGTTAAACAGCCCTTTTAAAAAGTTTTTAAAGATTTAACTATTCTGCTGCTTGACCACTAGGTGTCTAACCTTACTAGAATTTGGGAAACTGAAGAGGCAAATCGTTATATACAACGCTGTAGGGGTGTAGATACTGCCTATCTGGAAAACCATAGGCCACCAGGGCCTAGGCTTGAACAAACATACAAAAACTTTCTAATTTCTTTCTGTTCATCTACACATTTGAAGGTACCTTCAACGTGCTTTTGTCATCACTTTCTTTTTTCTACTACCCCTTCAATCTTCCTCAAAATGTTATTTTAAAATTACTCATGCTCTGGAATGCATGCTGACTTAATTTTGCTGATTCAGCGTTCACTGATGGATCAAACATGCCTCTTGGATATTCATTTTTTTTTAAAACCAAGCCCCTGATAAAGGATTCAGAACACTTATCTCTACAGTGCTCTTTAAAAAAAAAAAAAAGTACTTATTAGAGATTGAAAGACTTATTATTTAACTGTATTAAAACCAAATTTCCTTAATTGGTTAAAGTGGAAAATCTTACCATCAGTAAATGTTGAGCTCTTAGATGTCAAAGGTAGGTAGGCGTCCAAACAAGAAAATCTCTCATCCCTCCTTTAAAATTCATGCCAAAGTAATAACCACTTAAAGAGAAAAACTTTAGTTTGAACGATTAATTGAAACGTGCAGCAGCGGCACGTGGAGTGCTAAAATGTGAAGGGTACATAAAGTACATGCATGCTTCACAGATTATTTCTAACACTTGAAAAGGCCTAAATCATTGTGAATTTCCTTCAGCCTTCAGACAACAGTATTTTTAATATCCTTGTTTCCTCCGGCTAGTCCTGAAAATGAATAAGCTTCCCAAATTTGGATTTCTGACCATACAGTATGAGCTGCAGCGCTGTCATTTACTGTCCCGAGGTGTTATCTGTGGGGTGAGGCGGCTAACGGTCTCACCAGGGCGTCAATTGTTCGTCCCCTTCCGGACCTTCCCCAGACCAGGTTGGAGCGGGGCTCAGCCGCGGAGAGGCAAAGGATGGGTCAGAATCACCTGAAACAGAGGGAGATAAGAAGTGAACGGCTTCAGGGCGACTCTCTAGCCCCAGCACCTGAAAAACAAAGTGGGGCGCGGAGCCGGGGGACGCCCAGAGGCACACTAGGGGGCGCCCATCTGGGGTCCCCCGCTCCTTCCCACCTGGAGATTGGCAGCACCCAGTGGGGCGCTGAGGCGGAGGGGAGGGAGAGAGCCGCAGCAGCTGCTGGGTGTGCTAGGGAGGAGCCACGGCCTCGCCCCTAGGGATGCGGGCTGTGGCAACCCACACGCCAGGTTCGCGTGGGGCCGCCGCGTCTCCCTTCTACGGTTTGAACTGCCCGCCCTGAGCAACCGCTACGCGCCGCCCCGCCCGCGCCGCCCCTTCTTCCTGCTCCGCGGCGCCCCTGCCGTCCGCCCCGCGACCCGCAGACCCCAGCCCTCGCCTTTGCGGGGGGAGGTCTCTTTCTCTCTCTCTCTTCCTCTTCTTTCTCTCCCTTTGCACCGCTTCCGCCCCAGCACTTACGCCTACAACCTAAGCACAGCTCAAAACCAAACCTAAACTGTTGCCGTCCAGTCGGGGGCTTCCTAATTTGAAAGGCTCTTCCTCCTTCCGCTTCACCTAAACCGCAAACTTTGGGATGCCTATTTAGAAAGGCAAGTGTGTCCTACAGTGGGATGTCATTAAAAATAATTTAGAAGAATATTCATTTGAAAATGTTTCCTGAGATACTAAGTGTAAAAATATGGTTACAAAACCAAATAACTCCTTTTAAATTAAAATTATGGCTATACACAGGATAATGTTTGAAAGGTTTGAATAACGCAGTTACAGCATCTAATTAAATCTTAAAGGAAGCTGAGAAATTTGTTATATTTTCTGATATTTCTCCAGATTATTCAGAGTACACACACAAAAAAAAATGTCATTCTTTCCAAGTTTTCTCCAGGCCAAACACTTAATGGTTTTTTTTCTATTCAAAGATCCTGGGAAAATATACTTTGGTTGACAGTGCTGGGAAAATTATTTATTTATCCCTAAATATCGGGGCAGGATTATCTTTGTTCTTCAGTCTTGTCTTTTTATCTATATTTTCTCATCTTTCTACAATGAACACATATTGATTTTGTATTAAGGGAAAAGTTAATAATAAAAATGAAGTGAAATGTGTTCACTGTTTACAAACATAAAATTTGGGGCATGTCAAACACCCAAATACCCTCATGCCAAATAGTTGAAAAAATATTTAAAAAAAAAACACCTAATTTTCATTCAAGTATTTATTGGGCTCCTGGTAGCTCAGTGGTTAAAAGCTTGGCTGCTTGAATCCACCAGCCTCTCCCTGGAAACCCTATGGGGCTGTTCTACTCTGTCCGGGAGGGTCGCTATGAGTCGGAATCCACTCCATCGCAAGAGGTTTGGTTTTTTGGTTTGGTTATTATATGCCAGGCACTACTCTAAGAACCAGAGATCTATCAGTGATTAACACAGGTAAGTGACTTTGGTTAAAGTGTTGTCTAGTCATATTTAAATTTGGACTCTGGTGTTCTGTATTATGGAGTCCCTGGGTTAAGAGCTCCCTGCTAACCAAAAGGCTGGAGGTTTGAGTCCATCCAGAGGCACCTGGAAAGAAGGGCCTGGCAATCGACTTCTGGAAAATCAGCCATTGAAAACGTGTGGAGTACAGCTCTACTCTGACACACATGGGGTCGCCATGAGTCAGAGTCGACTAGAAGGCAACTGGTTTTTAATGTGTCAAGTACTGGTTAAAAAAAACAAACCCATTGCCTTTGAGTGGATTCTGGGTTAGGTACTGTGAATACAAAGATGAGGAAGGCACATTTACGGCTCTAAAGAGGCTCATTGGTATAAGTGCTATAATAGAGGTATAGCACTGGCACAAAGGAAGGAGGGACCAACTATCCCTACCTGGGAAGAGAGGGCAGAGCTAACTTCAGGTAGACAATAGGGTATTCCAAACTTAAAAAAAATATGTGCAAGAGCAGGACACTTAAACACATTAGGAAGACTGTAAATAATTTGTTATAGCTAGAAAATAAGGCCTGTTTTAAGAAGCGGCAAGAACAATTTTTGAGAAGGGGAAGAGGCCAAGTCATGGAGGGTTTTAGATGTATGCTAAAAGTCTAAATCTTATCCTCTGGGCAATTCAGAGCATTTTGAGCATTTCTAAATGGCATCAGAATGGAGGACAGAATGAAGAAAGGTGAGGGTGGCTGCAAGGAAACCAGTTAGGAGGCTACTATGTTACTCTGAAAGATAGTGGTGGTGGAGAAAAACCAGGATTGACATATTCAGTAGACAAAATTAACTACATGGGGCAGAAGATGAGAGGGTGAAGACTACCAGTTTGAGAGAAAATAAGATAAATCCAGTGTGGGGTTGGTAAATTGGAGATACCTGTGGGACTTAAGGTAAGTAGTTGAAGGTATGCAGTTGGTGAATTACACATTCTTCAAGACTTAGCATCTCTCTGAAGCCCCCTCCCCTCCATACATATTCCCAGGTAGTCAGTGCCCTCCCTAGCTCTTCAAACCTCTACTATAGCCTACAGCCATTCCCCATCTGACCTCAGCATTTGCACCCCTCCTTGGCTGTGTTTTTCTCCATGTAATTTATCACCTTTTAAAATATCGTATTATTTACTTATTTGTTTTAATGTCTGCTTCCCACCTTCATCCTTGCCAATGTAAGCAGAGCAGGGAATTTAGCCTGTGATTAAATAAAATCCACACAAACACACACGCTATTTAAACATTGTTGTTTTCATCTTTCTACAGTTAATTTATTTTTCTATAGATATTTTATTACTGTTAAGGAGTGAAAGAAACATATAACTCCCTTCTATCTTTCAAGGAAGAATCACTTTCATTCCCCGCCCCCTCCAAAAAAAAAAAGGAAAAAGACATGTGGTTACATGTAGCTTGCCCTGAGTTTTACTTATATAATCCAGATTTAAACCACTGAGCTACATTTTCACATTCTTTATGCATCACATTATTTGCTTGTTTGCTTCCTTTCCTTGGGTTGAGTATTATCTCATCATTGACCTCAGAATTCTAAAACCCACTTGCTTTCCAAAAGATCTAGTGCCTCTTTTAGGGTTCATCCAGTAAAACATAATGGAAGACTTTTGCAATCACCATGACATTCGAGCTATGCAGCTATATACTTAAGTGAAGATCAATGAAAAACCTGATTTATAAATTCAACACAATCCTAGTTAAAACCCCCAAAAATTATTTTGTGGGTATACACAAACTGACTCTAAAGTTTATATGGAAAGGCAAGAGATCCAGAATAGCCAACACAATTCTGAAGAAAAAAAAAAAAAGAGGGAGGACTGACAATACCCTACTGACACTACCCCACTTCAAGATTTACCATATTTGTGAAAGAATAGACAAATAGATCAATGGAACAGAATAGAGAGCCAGGAATAGACCCACACAAATATAGTCAACTGATCTTTGATAAACACACATCTGATAATGGATTTGTAATTAAAATATACAAAGCCCTCTTTAAAAACTTCCCCATGGTTTGGGATGCTGTGGGGCTCATTGACAAGGTTTTTAACTTCTCTGAGCCTAGCTCTAGTTCTTTATCTATAAAATAGAAATAAATAATGACGATTTTCATGTTTATGTGTATGTGAGAATTTGAGACTACATAGTTTTTTTATTATTGTACTTTAAGCGAAAGTTTACAATTCTAGTCTCTCATACAAAAATGTATATGTACGTTGTTACGTGACCCTAACTGTTCTCCCTATACTGTGACAGCACACTCCTCCTTTCCACCTGATTTCCCACATCCGTTCAACCAGCTTCTGACCCTCTCTGCCTTCTCATCTCACCTCCAGACAGAAGATGCCCGTTTAGTCTCATGTATCTACTTGAGCTAAGAAGCGCAGTCTTCATGAGTATCCTTTTATGTCCCATAGTCCAGTCTAATCTTTGTCTGAAGAGTTGGCCTCGGGAATTGTTTTAGTTCTAGGTTGACAGTGAGTCCGGGGGCCGTGCTTTCTGGGGTTCCTCCAGAGAGACTACATATAAATTTGAATCATAGTAAAGTTCTTGGGAGGTGCAACCTTACAGTGCTCGGCTGCTAAATGAAAGGTTGGAGGTTTGAGTCCAACCAAAGGCACCTATGAAGAAAGATGTGGCGATCTACTTCTGAGAGTCACCGTGAGTCAGAATCGCCTTGATGATCTAGCAGAGGAGAAAAAGGGTGGAAAACCCAAAACAAAATAGTGCAAAGGAGAGGAGGCAGCTACCCCACTGCCCTAAAACACGAATTAAACCTGCAAGATTTCAAAATATAATCTGGAAAGTGTTTTTCTACTTGAAGTGGTGGAATGCAATTCCTTTTATGTTCGTCCGAGTAATGGCTAGCTAGCCTAGGATTCCACGGATCTTCTGTCATCTCGGTTTCTCTTCTAACCCTCTAAAAAACCCTTGCCGTGGAGCGTAGGGCAGAGCAGAACTGGCCCCTAGGGTTTCCAAGTAACGGCTGGGTGGATTCTAACGGCTGATTTTTCCTTAGCAGCCAAGCTCTTAACTACTGCGGCTGCCAGGGATATCTCATGAAAAAGTTCTCATTTTCAAATGACTTCATCAGTCAGAAAAACAAACTTTCGATTTGCAAATGAAACTAGCTCAGGGTGGGGTAGGGAGCGAACGGGTAGGGCAGAACAGACACTTAACTCCACAGAGTCTAATATACAAAAATCCTGACTTTACTACCTAATCTCAGTCCTGGTTGCTCAGCCACGCCCTGGACGGAAAGGGCGTATACGCCACCTCTCGCGTCACAGCAAAGCGCCGGAAATTGACAACGACTCAGCCACGAACTGGTTGCTGTTTTGAAGCGCGGAGTAAGATCTTCTTACTTGGTAGGTAGGAAAATGAAGAATTAGAGTTTGGGAGTGGATATTTAGGTCAAAACCGGGAACATACTGGCGACTAAAAAGGTGCGGGTATCGAGATAGGGTTGAGAGAGGCTGGGGTCAGTCCTTTGCCTAGCTGTTTAGGGGAGCCCGGTGGCGCAGTGGTTAAGAGCTCGGCTGCTAACCAAAGGTCGGCAGTTCAAATCCACCAGCCGCTCCTTGGAATCCCTATGGAGCAGTTCTTCTCTGTCCTGCAGGGTCGCTATGAGTTGGAATTGACTCCACGGCTGTTGGGGAGTTACTTCATTTTTCTTCCTTTGTCTTTGGTTAGCATGTTCCCCTGTTGAAGTATATAATTTTTTGGCCGTATTTTACTAAGCTTTGGAAAAATAGAACTTGTATTTAAGTTAAATGAGAACCCGAGCTTTGAAGGCAAACCTGAATTCCTCTGCTTCTTACTAGCCAAGTAACCCTGGGCAAACGTCTCTAAGCCTTGGTTTCTTTATCTGTAAAATAGGAGTGATATCCCCTAGGACTGTTGTGAATAATATAATGAAATGACACGTATAAGGTATTTATTATTATATCCGATTTGGAGTAATGCTCAATACATTTTTTTCATCCTTTAGACCTACCTTTAGTGCTGGAAAAAAACTACAGATAAGGGATTGGGACCATTTTAGATTTTCTTGAGAAAAATGGGGCCTGGATGGATTTGTGAGAAGCCTATTTGAGATATTCAGTATATGAGTCTGTGATTTCAGGAACTAACAATGGACATCCAGAAGGACGTGCAACCCCCAAAACAGCAGCCAATGATATATATCTGCGGAGGTAAGAGTAGCACTTACATAAAATGAGAGTATTTTAACTTTTTTGAAAGTGATTATATTTATTGTTTGCATAAATGAGTCACTGATCTTTAAGGTTATATAGTAAAACACTATTGCAACTATACAGAAATCTCATTAAGATTTAATTTTCTCTACTGGAAAAAAGTGCATTGCCCACAAGTCTTTTCTGTCCCCCGTCATATATTTGGTAATATTAAAATACCCTTGAGATTTAGTATATTTTCGTGCTTTGGGTGAAAAATATAATTAAGATAACGTGCTTGTCTGTAGTGTTTTCTTTTTTTGACATTGAATAAATAATGTTTTCTTTTCCAGAATGTCACACAGAAAATGAAATAAAATCCAGGGATCCAATCAGATGCAGAGAATGTGGATACAGAATAATGTACAAGAAAAGGACTAAAAGATGTATCTTTTTAACTATGCTTTCTAAGTATGAAGTAGGAGGAAATGAAGACTAATGCTTGGGTTGATAATCAAAGACTACTTTCTGGTAAATATGGTAGTAACTTTTAGAAGAACACTAAAAAAAAAAAAAACAAAAAAAAACATAATTAGTATTTCCATGGACCAATATCCCAGTGTATAGGCTGTAAATAGTCAAGTACTAGTTGATTTTGGTTCTCATGAGTTTATTTTTCAGGGGTTCTGTATTACATTCTTGATCTTGAAATTATGGACAAAACTGGATTATACAAGGAGAAATAACAAGTATTGTTTATACTACCTAATGGAAGAAGTACAGCCTACAAGTTAGCCCAGAGACTGAGGGTAAATTGTTATGTGGTAACTAATAATTTTTTAGAAATCAACAAGTTATCACCTTTAGCAATGCTTCAGTGTTTTTTGATGCATCAGCCTTTTGTATCATGGAAGAAGGACTAATTAAAATTGAAATTTTTTTTAGTTTATCATGAATTCTCATAGTAAATAGTTAATTCTATTTTTTTTTTTGCATTTCAAATTAAATATAACAAACTATTACAATGAGAAGGTGACTTGGAAGTTTCATATAATTTTTAAATACTTTTTTTGTCCTTAACTCAGTTAAATAGTGGTGGTTTTTGATGCTCGATGAAACGTGAATTCAGAGGAATGTCTTCACTTATGTTTGGATTCACCATTAATGTTTCACGTTGTTGTATAGCTTTTGGAATAGCATACTTCATGAATCCCACTATATACATATGATTTCATTTTACTTAGTTTTTAAAACCATACTGTATTTCGGTATTTGTTAATACCTTGTGCAAATAAATTATTTTTCATTCAATTGTATGACATACAATTTAATTTTATTGTACATTAAATCTGACACACAATGAAGGTTAAAACTGCTTCCACAAACTTTTAATCAAAACCTAGAATTATCTAGAACCTTGTTAAAAACGCAGGTTTCTGGAGTGGATTCGACCTGCTGACCGTTTCGTTAGCAGCCAAGCTCTTAACCACTGCGCCACCAGGGTTCCTCTTTTGACTAGTGCTCTATAAATGTAAAAATCAGAAATCAGAAATTTGAGCTTAAAATTTGCATATAACTTGTCTCCTAATAAATTGCTTACCCATGACTGTGGACCCACTGATTAGAAAAAGCACTGAATGAGGGTGGTTCAGATTTAGTCTTAACCACTTATTAACTCATTATCTGGGCAGTTCTCATTGTTTTTTCTAACTTCCGTTTCACTGTCAAAGCAGAGGAAGTATGATGGTCAATATGTGGAGTTAACAGTCCTTGGAGACAACTTCAGAGATTGAAATTATGAAAAATTCAAATATAGCAGATTAAATCAGAAATGAACAGCCCTAAGGAAGAATAAAATAGAGATGGCTGAGGAGATAAACAAGTTACCTCCTTTTCACATACACATATACACACACATGCCTACCCTTCGTAGAATGAGTTTTACGTTGAAAATTAGTCAAAGAGGAGTGGTTTTGAGCAGAGGGCTGAACGATCCACCCAGCCACAGGAAAACAAGGGGAAGGAGCATTCCTGAAATAGAGGAAAGAATGTAAGGGCTCTAGGGTGGAACATGAGCTTGTCTTGTTACCACCTCAGAATGAAGGCCATGTGACTGGAACCTCATGAAGGGAGAGTTGGAGGAGATGAGGTTGCAGAGGTAGGCAAGGGTCCGCTCACTTAAGGCCTCATGGTAGGAAGCCACTGGGGGGAGTAAGCGGGAGAATTGGTTTAAGATTTAAAAATCACTCGGCTGTTAGGTGAGAATGGACTGTGTAGGGACAGAAGTGGCAGCAGGGAAACCAGTTAGGATTACTTCTAATCCCTTGTATGTGAGCCATTTTCTTTCTGGAAACCTTGAGAATTTTGTCGGTGTTCTAAATTTTTACAATATGTGCCTTGGTGTGCATCTGTTTTCTTCAACTGCTTTGGTCACTTGGTGGCACTTGCAATCTGGAAACTCGAAGGCCTTCAATTCTGGGAAATTTTCTTGAAATAATTTCCTACTTTCAATTTTCTCTTTTTAGAATTTTTTTTTTTTTTTTTTAGCAGATCAAATGTTAGACTTCTTTGACCTTTTTTTTTTTTTCCCGTCTTTTCTTGTTTTCCGTCTTTTTCCCTGTACTCTGTGAGAGAAGTCTTCAACTTTATCTTCTAATCTTTCTATTGGGCTTTTTGTTTCTGGTATAATACTTTTAATTTCCATGAGCTTAGTTATTTTTCTTTGTTCCCTCTTTTATATACACAGAAATATTTCTGTTCTTGTTTCTTGGGTGCAATATCTTTTATTTCTATGAAGACTAAAATGATAATTTTCATCTGCCTACGTAATCTGTTTTCTTCGAATTGCTTTTTATCCTGCTTGTTTATTCAGCGTAAGTATATACATAATTATAACCAAAATAAAACGTTAAGCATTAGTGAAAAAAGAATTGCAGTGCATGTGGAATTACAACCATTCCCTGAGATACTTAAAAGTGTTTTTCTTCCTATGCTGGAAGTAAAATCGTGACATTTCAGTAGGCTGAGTGTTTTCAATTTAGGACATAGTTTTAAAGAAAGTTTGCTGGCTGGAATGAGGTGTGAAGTGACTTTGAAGGGCTGGCGAGCGTGATGCTGTTCCCCATCATGAAGAATTTATTAAGGTAACCTGAGGATTATTCTAGAGTTTGAATCCATTCTCTGACACTGACAATGGAAATGACAATATAAATATATTTTGAGCATTAGAATTTTTACCAACACCAGCACCTGCTGATAGACTATTATGTCTTTGATATAAATACAAAAGGGAGAAGTATATTTATTGAGCCCCTACTATGTGCCAGGCACTAGGTTCTTTGCATTCATCATCTGTTTTAACTAGTGTGAAATTATAAAACTGGAGTACACTTCCTCACAAATGATCTCTGCTGTTTTATTCATCTGAATTGCCTTATGTCTCATTCACCTTTATATCCCAGCACCTAGTACAGTGCCTGACTCATGATCAGCAATCAGAAAATGTTGACTGCGTGAAGAGGAAGAGGAAAATAGAAGAGTACGAAAGTCATTTATTCTTGTTTAAAGGGAGGGGGGAACGTGCATCTAGGTTGCAATGTAGACTATGAAATGTTAATTACGTTTCTATAGCTAAGTAGGAGTGAGTATCAATTTACCTGTCAGATAAAATACAACAGTCAGGATAACAAAACAGTAACAGCATCTTAACTCAATCTGAAATGTATCAAAGGGGAGGGAGGGGAGCTCTCACACTTCGACTCTTGTTACATGCTGAAGAGTCAGTTCCATCTCAGTGACTCTTTATGACAGAGTAGAACTGCCCCACAGGGTTTCCTAGGCCGTAATCTTTATGGGAGCAGATCACCAGGTCTTTTCTCCCTCTGAGTGGCTGGTGGGTTCTAACCACAGACCTTTCAGTTAGCAGTCCAGCACTTAACCACTGCGCCACCAGGACTCCCCACTCTTCTTACTTTCCCTCAAATGGTCCTCTGACCAGCGAAGATGAAGGAAGTGAAGCTGGGACTTGTAAGGCCAATCAGCGGGACGGCAGCACGCGGGCTGGCCAATCACTCCGCAGAGGGGCCTAGTCCCCGCCCCCTGGCTGTTCAGCAGGTCACCTTGGGGTCCCTGGGCGGGGCGACCCGTGTTTCCCTCAGCCCCTGCAACTCCTTTAGTACAGTGCATAGCGGCTGTGCCCACCTCACCGCGCGGGGTCTGAGAACCAGGTGAATGCTTGTGTATGCTTTCTAAACAGGAGTGAGTTACATCTCCTCATCGCAGTCCCTCCTTCCCCGAGTGGGGGTGTGGGGAGGGCCGGCGGATAGAAAGGGGGCAGAGGAGCGCGTCTTGGGATGGCCATTCCTGGTCTGGGGAAACACACTAGGGTTCTTCCAGGCCGCCGGGATCGGAGGCGGATGTTGGGACGGGGGTCGTTGGGGCGGGGTCGCCACACTGGGGTTCCCAGGAACTGCTGGCGGCGATAAATCCTGGTTTCTAGAGCCAGGGGGTGGCAAGCGATTTCAGAAGAAGGGCTTTAAGGTGCCTCGTGACCGTTGCGGGTTGTCTGTAGAGCTCCGGCATCGGGGCCAGGCCCTGAACCCGCCGCTGTCAGGGGCTGTGCTGTACATAGAAACCGTTGCTACGGCTAAAGGATGCTATTTCCGTTCGGTCTCCGGCTGCAGGGGGCGCTCGGCCCTCTGGATGCTGGAAAGAACGTGCCTTGGTGGGAGATGCCCAGGTTTCTGTGAAACTAGTGAATTCATAGCAGTTTGCACTAGAGGTATTATTGATAAACTGATTAGGAAATGTGGGAAATGGATGTGGGTCAGGATGATGGAGTAGAGATTAAATCCAGCTACAGACATAATATGGAAGATTTACCTAATCATAGATAAAAACTGCAAATAGATGTGGAAGAATTTTAAAGAGGGCATATAAATTGTATAATTTGCTTTTTGGAACCTGAGAATTAACATTTGTAATCTTGAGAATGTATGTCCCACCAAAAAAAAAAAAAAGGGGGACGGGGGTGAGGTGGGAATTTTCGAACAATTCTCAGAGAAATGTTAAAACAGTTTTCAGAGTGAAATTCATTAGATTATGTCTTAAGAGGTGGCTCTAGCCTGTCAGATTTTTTTATTATAACTATGTTTTATTTAAATCACAAAATAGCAAGGTTGAAAGATACCTTAAATTCTATGTAATCCATTTTAATCCCACTAGATGCTTAAGTCTCTCCCATCAAAGATCCTCCAGCCTCTTTGGACAAATTCCCCAAAGGCAACCCATTCTATTCTGGGCAGCACCAGTAATTAAAAAGTTCATCTTGCGTTCCTGAAACTTCCATCCTTAAGGCTATTCTTGTGATAAGAGACATTCATCATGGTGGGCCCTGCAGGTGTGGTGTCATGTGAAAGCCACAATCTAATTTCTCAGGTGGGTTTCATCCTAAAGTTGAACTGTCATCTATATTCTATCCCCAAGTCAAAGCCAGCAGATATATGGAGGAGAAGCTGACAGAGCAACCTATTTTTCTGCAGAGGTCTGATACTTGACCAGACTCTGAAAGGGCAGTCTTGCTGAAGGAAAACCTCCTAGCGAAGTAGACTGTCATGGTTTGAATTATGTCCCCCCAAAAATGTGTGTATCAGTTTGGCTAGGCCATGATTCCTGGTACTGTGTGATTTTCCTATATGTTGTAAATCCTGCCTCTATGATGTTAATGAGGGAGGATGGGTGGCAGTTGTGTTAGTAAGGCAAGACTGGATCTACAAGACTGGATTGTGTCCTGAGGCAATCTCTTGAGATATTAAAAGACAGAAGTGAGCAGTGAGACAGGGGACCTCATACCATCAAGAAAGCAGTGCCAGGAGCAGAGCGTGTCCTTTGGACCAGGGTCCCTGCGCCGAGAAGCTCCTAGTCCGGGGGAACACTGATGAGAAGGCGGACAGAGAGAGAAAGCCTTCCCCTGGAGCTGACACCCTGAATTTGGACTTTTAGCCTACTTTGACTGTGAGGAAGTAAACTTCTCTTCATTAAAACCATCCACTTGTGGTATTTCTGTTATGGCAGCACTAGATGACTAAGACAGAATCTGATACCGGGAGTGGGGTGCTGCTCTAACAGATACCTAAAATGTGGAAGTGGTTTTAAAACTGTGAATGGATAGACGTGCGGCAGTGACAGAGGACCAGCAGCAGCAGAGAACCTACAACAGCAGAGAAGCAGTAGCAGCAGAGAACCAACAGCAGCAGAACCAGGAGACCGGTGAAAGACGGCGCTGGAGCTGACCCACTGGAGCGAGACAGCTGAATGCCTGTGTGCAGGAGGCTTCCTGGCAGAGTGGGGTGCCTCCAGGCACTTACCGGTGGAGCTACTGAGCTTTGGAACACTTGCCCCAGCAGGGCAGATGCGGGCTTGAGGCCCGAGGGCCGAGAGGCCATAGGAAGCAGAAGCTGAAGAGACAAGGGACGCAAGAAGCCGAGTTGCTTCAGTCTCAAAAGGTATGGCTATGACCTCAGGGGTTTCAAAGGGTGGAGCCATGGCCTCTGTTGTTTCTAAGGGTGGAATTGTCACTGGAATGGACTAGGAGAATGGTGTGCCTAAAGCCAAGGGAGCAGAGTTGCTGTCCCAGTGGGCCTGGAAGCCCAGGGCTGAGGGGCCTCCACTCAAAACCCAGAGACTGTGGCCAATACCTAGAGTCTGGAGGGCAGGGCTATTGTGTAAATTGTCTCAGAGAACAGAAGATTATTTTCAAAGCCTTGAGGGCTAATGTAATGTGTTCTGCTGACTTGCTAGGTGCCTGTTATCACTTCTTTTCCTCTTGTTTCTCCCATTTGTAATGGAAATGTCTACCTTGTGCCCGTTCTGCCATTGTCCCTTTGGAAGCAGATAACTTGTATTCTAGATTTCACAGATGAAGAGGAATTTTTGGATTTTGGACTTGGAGTTAAGACTTTTGCTATGATATGATGGGGTGAATATGTTTTGCATGTTGCAAGGATGTGATTTTTTGGGAGCCAAAGGGTGGAATGACATGGTTTGAATTATGTCCCCCCAAAAATGTGTGTATCAGTTTGGCTAGGCCATGATTCCTGGTACTGTGTGATTTTCCTATATGTTGTAAATCCTGCCTCTATGATGTTAATGAGGGAGGATGGGTGGCAGTTGTGTTAGTAAGGCAAGACTGGATCTACAAGACTGATTGTATCCTGAGGCAATCTCTTGAGATATAAAAGACAGAAGTGAGCAGTGAAACAGGGGGACCTCATACCATCAAGAAAGCAGTGCCAGGAGCAGAGCGCGTCCTTTGGACCAGGGTCCCTGCGCCGAGAAGCTCCTAGTCCGGGGGAACACTGATGAGAAGGCGGACAGAGAGAGAAAGACTTCCCCTGGAGCTGACGCCCTGAATTTGGACTTTCAGCCTACTTTGACTGTGAGGAAATAAACTTCTCTTCATTAAAACCATCCATTTGTGGTATTTCTGTTATGGCAGCACTAGATAACTAAGACATAGACCCACTGCTACTCTTTCTTCTTTGTTTT